AGGCTGGCTTCAGCCTAGGCTCTGACTGGAGCAGGTGGGTGTCACCTCTGGCTTCTCTCTTGACCGTGAAGTGCTTGCCACTCTGGGGTTGACAATGGAGTAAAGAAGGCCAGTTGGAGGTTCATCGAGGTCTGTAAATAATCTAGAACAGCAGCAATCCCAACCGCTCTTTGTTACAAGCATAGGGAAAGACTTGAGGTCACCTTTAGGGGCAGTCAGTCCCTTCATTTGGGGGACACAGCAGCACTCTGGCTAGTATGGAAGTGGTAAAGCTGAGCCCCTCTAGAGAGACTGAGAGAGACTGCTAAGTGATCAAGTTGCTGCAGGGGAAATGAGGGCAGGGAGGGCCACATATTCACTGTCTAGCCCCAGGACTGGGTTTGCTCTTCTGAGATACAGCGGTGAAAGTCAGAAGCTCAGAGGGTAGTGGGTGGCTGGATAGAACCCTGCACACACACACTACTGAGTCAAACCCTGCTCCCTGCCTTGGGATGCCTGGGGCAGACACTGACGATTCTATGTCTCTGTCCCTCAGCCTCCTTCTTTACTGAGTCTTCCTGTGCCAGGTGCTCACTTCCCAACATCCTTTGCACTACAAGAAGCTGGATAACCCCCTTCTGGCCAAGAAGAGCTCTCTTCCTTAAGCACCATTTTCACATTGGGAACTCATGTGAAGACTTGATGCTTGTGTTATGGCAGCCACTTTGTGACCATGAAGTACCAAGCTGAGCAGAAGCTGGTAAGAGTCTGGACCCTTGTTGGCATTGTCAAGCCAAATGTGAGATCACCCGCATCCCAACTTGCTGTGTGATACCAAAAATCCTTATTGTTTAAGGCATTACAACTGCCCTATTATATGTATGTCTCTTAACTGACAGCATTGGAAGCATTTGGAGAGTGTCCCTATGGTGACCCCACAGGGGATGACAGAGGCCGTGGTTAGGCTACACTCACAATTGTATGGGCAACAGCAGACACACATCTGTAGGAGTCAGTGCAGGAAAGGAGAAATAGGTGACTTCTGGATGGTGATGGAAATGACACACTGATTTGGGGGCACTTGCTGGACACTCCCAGACGTAACTGGAGGAGGAGCTCTTTGCAACAGCCACTGAATCTTCCAATGCATAATGGGTGGCGTAAGTCACAGACTAGGGGCATTCAGAGCGATGAGAGTGCCGTGATTGATTGGTGATGTCTGTCATGGGTGTGCCGTGGTGGGTTCCACATTTGCTTAGACAGTGCTTCTGGCTACTCTTTCTAAGGTTATATCCAGAGTCCCCATTCCCACTCCAGAGGCAGAGTCAAGCACTGGAGCCCTGCTTGGAGCTCAGGCTTGCCAAGCAAGGGCTTCTGGGACTCTAGTCTGAAGTCCTGCCACAGGTCAGCCTACTCCATCGGCCTGGAGTTCCCTGACAGCAGGATCACATCGCCTCCATCAGTGAGCCACCAACAGGACCTGGCACAGAGCCTGGCACTTAGCAGACACCATTGGGGTCCCATGTTCAGGCATTCCCCTGCCGGGGTTAATTAGAGGGGCCAGATGACGTGGCTCATGCCTGCTATCCCAGCTATTTGGGAGGCAGAGATAGGAGGGTCATTGTTCAAAGCCAGCCCAGTCAAATAGTTAACAAGACCACATCTCAAAACAAAACAAAACAAAAACACCACAAGCCAGGAGTGGAGGAGTGTGCCTGTTATCCCAGCTGCTAGGAAAGTGTAGATAGAAGGATCATGGTCCAAGGCCAGTAGGGGCAAAAGCACAAAATCTTATCTAAAAAGCAAAAGGGGTAGAGCACAAGTGGCTCAAGTGGTAGAGCACCTGCCTAGCAAGTGTAAGGACCTGGGTTCAAACCTCAGAACGGGAGGGAGGGAGGGAGGGAGGGAGGGAGGGAGGGAGGGAGGGAGGAAGGAAAGGAGGAAAGGAAAGAGTCATTTTTAAAGGGGAGAAGAAAGTTGGAATTTATTCTTTTTTGGTAGGGGCAGTACTGGGGTTTGCACTCAGGGCTTTGCATTTGCTAGACAGGTGCTCTACCACTTGAGCCACTCCTCCAGTCTCTCATTATTCTTCAGTCAACAAATACTTGGTGACGCATGCAGGATGCAGGATACAGGATGAACATGAGATGTGATTTTGGTCCTCACTGCACTTCAAAAGCCACCATTCGGGAGCCACCAGCCATACGTGGCCATTTAAAGTTAAATGAACCCAAAGGTGAGTTCCATACCACAGTCACACCAGTCGCATGTAAAGTGCTCTGTGGACCCATGTGACTAAAGGCTACCCTGCTAGACAGTGAGGGCTGGGCAGTTCTGAGGTCCAGGCAGGGGCAGTACTGGGGTTTGCACTCAGGGCTTTGCATTTGCTAGACAGGTGCTCTACCACTTGAGCCACTCCTCCAGTCTCTCATTATTCTTCAGTCAACAAATACTTGGTGACGCATGCAGGATGCAGGATACAGGATGAACATGAGATGTGATTTTGGTCCTCACTGCACTTCAAAAGCCACCATTCGGGAGCCACCAGCCATACGTGGCCATTTAAAGTTAAATGAACCCAAAGGTGAGTTCCATACCACAGTCACACCAGTCGCATGTAAAGTGCTCTGTGGACCCATGTGACTAACGGCTACCCTGCTGGACAGTGAGGGCTGGGCAGTTCTGAGGTCCAGGCTGGCGGGGGAGACAAAGCCTCATGGATACCTGGTTGTAAGCCATGACATTTGTCACTGGGAACCCATGGCTTTCGCCATTTTTCAGGTAGAGCCAGGGAAGTCACTGTTCTCCATCAAGTCCAAAGTGGACTAAACATCTAGAGCCTCACACCTTCGGAACCTTCTAGAGCCTTCTAGAGCCCTTCTTTCCAAACCAGAGACCCAGTGAGCCCTCCAGGGATGCACAGCTCCTCCGGGATGTTGTGAGATGGTGCACAAATGACACCATCCATCGAAGGAGAGTGCAGGTACGAAGACAGGTGCCTGGGCTGCATCCCAGCTCTGCACCTGGATGACCCTGGGCCAGTACTGAACTACTGGACCTCAAAGTCTCCAGTAAAATAGGGGGAAATAATAGTATCTGCCCAAAAGGACTGCTGGGATGACTAAATGTGTTAAAGGGCTTGAAGAACTCAGAAGTGCTCCTGGCACACAGTAAACACTGTGTAAGTGCTAGCAGTTATCCTTGCCATTGTTCTTATCAGGCATGGGTCCTTTGGACGTTTTAGGGGGAGAGCGCGCGATGTACCTGCCACTCAGTATTCTGCTTTATTTCCACTCTACTCCCAAAGTATCCTTACAGTCTGTTAAAGTAAGCCAAGAAAAGGAATTAAACGGTTACTAATATTAATCAGCCCCTGCTAAGGGCTTTCCACACGCCAGAACCTGAGCGAAGTGCTTTACACGTACCACGTGTTTGCCCCCAATAGGCGTGTGCTATTGAAAATGTCTCCAATTAACACAAATGAGGACATCGAGGCTGGGAAAGGCGAAACCTGCCGGCATTTGCAGAAGGCTCTCGACGTCAGTTCCTCTAAGTACCGCCAGGGGGCAGTGCCCATCCACTTTCCAGTTCCGCAGTCTGGAGGGAACACGCTGGGGAAAAGATTGTCCTGCAAACATTGACGAGCGCCTGCTGTGTGCAGGACACTATTCTGGGCGCCGAGGATGCCTCAGCAAATAAAGGGTGGAGGAGTGGGGAAATCTGCTCTAGGAATTCTTCCCTTCCATTTTCCCCTAGGAATAAAAGGTATTCTTGGAGATGCGTGCCCAAGGGGTACGTAGCCCAGCTTGGTGAGGCGGGGGAGGGGTTTGGGAGCTCGCGGGAAAGGATTGGAGTATCTGAAAGGTCTAAGGTCCCCAAATCTCAAGGGTTGCAAGTACCCCTAGAAAGGAGGGTCATTATGCAGCCCACCTCCCGGGCCCCACCCTAGAGGGGAGCAGGGGGCATCTCCCTGTCGTGTCTTAGTGTCTTATGTGGCTGGAATTAGGATAGGTGCTATTACCCTGAAAAACCACAGTTGGGAGAAGGGGAACCCCCAAAGTTCTGGTTTTGTCCCTAGCAGAAAGGATCTGAGAAGGGGCCCCAACTCACTGATCTGAAGGTCACCCAAAAAACCAGCCCCAACAGAGGTGCTGGAGCGCGGTCCCCCAGGCCGACCTTGGACAACGAGTGGACTAGCAGGGAGGTAAATGCTGAGGCTGGGGGCTTCTCCGGACCCCTTCTTCACGCAGGTCCCACGGGGACGGGTCCAGTGCGGACCCTAAGCGACTTCGAGGCGCACAGCCAGTGGCGGGACCTCTGGGCATGTGCGCCCCGGCGAATGGTAGACGTGTGCGTACGTGAGTGATGTGTGCGACAGCTGTGGTGGCGATCCTACGTACTGACCACGTGAGGGGTGCACCGTGTGACGTGCGAGTGTGTTTGGGGTGGCCAAGGATACGGGTGTTGGACTCAGTGTGTGCAAAGGGACAAGGACACGCGGGAGGGGGTAGAGGAGGACGGAGAGTGCGCTCGGTAGGGACGGCCTGGAGGAGGCCGAGCCGCGCGTGCATGCCTAGGTGGACACCGGGGCATCGGTGACTTGGGGATGCACGCGGCATGGTCCTCCTCTCTGCGTCCTGGACCGGGGGCTGGCGCTTGCGGGGAAGTCCGTGCCTATAAGCCCACGTTGGAGGGTGTCCTGGCTGGGAAGCCCCCTGCCCCAGGACCCGCGTGGGAATATTTCTTAACATTCATGTTGGCTGGGGGGGTAGTTCTGCAAAATGGATCAACCTGGGCAATCGCGCGTCTGGACCGTTTTGGGCGAACTGCGGATGTGAAGGCCATGTCCTCGAATTAGAGACGCCAGAGGTTGGGTAGAGGGTCCATCCCAGAGGGGCCGGCCAGCAGGCTTAGCTGAATGCGCGCTGATAGCGCCTGGTCCAGGGCTCAACAGCCTACAGGAACCGGGGGCGGGACTTAGAGTGAGGGGCGGGGCGGGGTCTGGCGGAGGGGCGGGGCCGCGGCCGCTGCAGCAGCGCGGGCTGGGCCAGGGGGCGCCTCGCGCGGCAGCGGCTCGGGAGGGCAATGCAGTGAGGCGGGCTCGGCGGGCGGGCGTGCGCGCGCGGAACGGGGGCCGCGGCCGCGCTGCAGAGATGTGACTCGGGCCGAGGGCCAGCAGGAGCGTCGGCGCTGCGGGGCGGCGGGGGTCGGTGAGTGCGAGCCGCGCCGATGCGGTGGAGGGCGCTGCGGGGACCCCAGAAACTTTTCCCGCCGTGGGCTAGGGAAGATTGCGGGGGTCGGGGGGTCCTCATCTGGTGTTTGTCTAGCCCCCTTCCCGGGGCTAATGTGGGGTTCGGGTGAAAGGAACCACAGTGCAGCTGGAGAGGAACCGCAGAGGGTGGGGCGGGGGAAGGAGGAGCTGGGGACCTTGATCTGGAGGACAGGGTCTGTGTACCCGGACCAAGTGGGGATCCAGAACTCTGGGGAGGGTCTTGGAGTGACCACAGGTAAGGGCAGTAAGGAGCATAAGGGAATCCAGCTGTGCCCAAGTGGATCCTGTGAGCGGACCTCGGGCAGGACCCGGGTCGAGAGGCAGGCCGTAGTGGGGCTGACCATGGACCCAGTGGACCGAGCCGGGGGCTGTAGGGCCAGACTTTGGGGGCCAGCAGCCGCACCTGCCGCAGGGCTTGGGGGCCAAGGTCGCAACCGGCGGTGGCCACGCACTACTGGGCTAGAGCGGGGAGGCGGCGGGCACGGCAGGGAGGGAAAGAGGCAGAGCTGAGATCGGAGCCTGGGGGACAGTTGGGGGCGGGAGGTGGGGGCGGCTGCATACATGGCGGGGGGGTTCGTTTCCGTTCCAGACACAGGCACTTGGGCCTCGGAGAGATGAGGCCAGGCTGGGGATAAGGACTAACCTTTTCTTAGGGGACACAGGCTCCCAGCCCCACAAGGACCACACACATCCTGGGGTGCAGGGCGATAGCGGGGAAACTGGCTAAGCAGTCTGGGAGGGGCGCAGCGACCTTGCCCCAGAGCGGCGGGCTCATTCCTCAGTTCTTGCTCTGTCACATCCCGGCCTAGCCAGTTCCTCCTCCTTGTCCCCTGTTCGCTAAGGGGGCGGCTCCTTGGAGCGCGGACAAAGGCCCCTGGAGTGTGGCGGGCAGCATCGTCCCCGCAGCACACGCGCCACATTGGCTACCCAACTGCGCTAGGATGGGGGGGCACCTGAGCAGAGCCCAGGAAACACTGGGGGTCTCGGGAAAGACAAGAGAAGCGGGGGGAGGGGCCTGGCACACAACCCCCAGCACTTCAGCCAAGGAACGTTATTTCAGAAGTTTTTTCCACTAGGGGACTAAGGGCTTTCGGAATAGCCAGACTTCGACTGAAACTGTATGCAAATGACATGTAAATAGAATGCAAATTTGCATCTGTTGGTTGGAACCCCCTTCCCGGCCAGTTTTCTATCTCTTCTGTGGAATGAACATTGTTTCCAATCCCTTCACTGCTGTAAGTCTGAAAACGGGTCAGCTGAGTTGGATGGGGGAGAAGATGGGAGGGAGAGGAGTCGCCATTTGGGGCCCAGGCAACAGGAAGCTGGGGTTTCCTTAGAAAGATAAGCTCAGAAATCTTCATTGGTTAATTTTTTATTTCAACAAATGTGCCAGACACAGAACCAGTCCCCAGCAATACCTTGTATAAAATGAACCGAGCTCCGTTAGGAGGGAGGGGGGAGGTCAAACACTAACCAAGCAAAAAAAAAAAAAAACAAATACTGCAACATCTGGTTGGGATGGGGCTGCCAGGAGAATAAGACAAGATGATGGCAAAGAAAGTGACCAGACTGCGCAGTACCTGGGGAGTGACATTAACAAGAGGGGGACTGCCACCCCAAGGGAGATCTTGGGGAAAGAATGAACCCGGCAGAGGGCATTGGGAGTGCAGGACTTGGACGTGGGACTGAGCTCAGAGGAACTAAACAAAGGCTATTGTGGCTGAAGTATGTGGGCAGATTTGGTCGTGGGGTGAGGGGACAGGAGATACCAGCCAGATCTCTGTCTCTTGAGGCCATGCAAAGAAGTTTAGGGTTTTTTTTTTTTTTTTTTCCTCTCTCTCTGTTAGGGCCAGTGAAACCTTACAAGGTTTTGAGCATGACATCACAGGAATTGGTTTTTAAAAAGGTCTCTTGACCTGAACAAGAAGGACATTGGTTCCCCCTTCCAACTGTCCGTGGGATGTCGCGTTGCCAGGTGCCCGGGCTCCCTCCAGCCTGTGGATAAGACAATGGGAGGAGTGGGTCAGTTCTAAGAAAAATCCCCTCTCCACTTTCAGGCAGTTCTTATCCACCCTAACCAGCCCCCGCCCGGAGCCCACTGCCCCTTAAACACTTCCTCCCAGAGCTTCCTTGGGGGTTACGAGTTAGTTCCATTTTCTTTGTGGAATTATAGCCGGAGAGGAACCATCCATCCTGGAATGGGCAGCCAAGGATGCAATTTGCATTTAAATGATTGCTTTATTTACAGGCTTGCAGCTGCTTTGCATATTCATGACTCCTAGAGTTTGTGTTCTTGCAGCTCTGTTTACTAACCTATGAGGGTTTTTACATTTGCGAGCCCCTAAATAGAACAGTGTCTAGTCAGCGTTGGGAAAAGATTATAAGATCGTGTAACTTGGAAAAGATATCTGAGGCGGAGATTTTCAGGTCTGGGAAAGAGCTTAATGTCAGGAAACCTTGTAACAGTTTAATCCAGGCGGGCAGGAAATGCACCAGGGCTCAGATAGGAGTTGGGCCGGGGCTGGAGTTTGATGCTGAGGTGTGGGAGACCAGCTCCCAGCTCCATCTTGAGCTTCTGCCAGACATGGAGACAAGGGAATGTCAGAACAGGGATGCAGTCCTGGAGTCAGGATCTGAGAGAAAGGGATTCTAGTCCCGCCTTGGCGTGTAAATTCCTGTAAGCCTCTGGTCATGTCGCTTGACCTCTGCCTTCATTGACCTCAGTGACAGTCATGGTTGCTCTTGTATCAAACTGGTTCTCCTTGCTGCCTCTGTACCCAGCAACAACCTGAACTTTTCAAAGTGCTTTTCCACACCAGCCTCATGAAGTCAGCACAGTCGTGCCCATTTTACAGAAGAGACTGAGGGTCAGAGAGGTTATGTAAGTGTCGCATGGCTCTGACTGCCCTCCTCTGGCCTCCCTCCCACTGAGGTCTTCCACTCCCGAGGAGTCTGCTGGGAGCAGAAACTGTGCCAAGTATTCATCTGGGTACTGAACTATTAAAGATGCCCATAGCTCTCTCTCTCTCTCTCTCTCTCTCTCTCTCTCTCTCTCTCTCACACACACACACACACACACACACACACACACACACTTCCATATCCCAGTGCCTCTCCAGTGTCTTCTGCTTCTGCGTCTGACCTGCCTGATGGAGGGCGGGATGGCCTCCTCTTCAGAGCCCTGCTGGGAGCAGAGCCCAGGCCAGTCAGAATAGTGTGTTCCAGAGCATAGGGGACATTTTGTTTGTCCTTCCCCATGGGTGATGGGAAGGAGGGGATCCTGGGACCCAGGAGACAGGCTGGCATCTGGTTGGGGGGAGGTAGCGGGGGAAGGGGACGTCCCAGCTCTGAGTCCACAAGAGAGATGCCTAAATTCAGGGCCCCCAGGCTGGCCTCAGCCCACATGGAGACCCCCACTCAGAGCTCCTGCCCAGGGCAGCAGAAGCATGGGAGGCTGGGCGGTCCCCAGGGGTATAATACCCCCCAAAGGTGCCTCCCCTTTACACCTCAGGGACCTCTTTGCTTGGTGTGTGATGGGGAGGCTGGAAAGGACAAACACCATCTCCGTGGCAACCACCCCCCAGACAATCCCAGTCAGAAGAATTCACTGTTTCAGAGCATTAGCGACCTTTTATTCACTTTGCAGACACTTTATCTAAGTACTTACTCCATGGTAGCTACAGCCCTATACACAATAGTCACTATTATCATTGGTATTATTTTTTTAGCCAGGGTCTCACTAGGAAGCCCAGGCTGGTCTTGAATTTGCTATGTGCCCAGGCTGACCTAGAATCTTAATTCTCCTGCCTCAGTGTCCTGAGTGCCAGGATTACAGGCATGTACTGCTATGCCTGGTTCCTGATAGTCATCTTAATCCTTACCACAAACCCATAAAGTGGGCATTGTTGTCCCTCCCCCATTTGATGATGAAACTGAGACAAGAATGGTTTTTTGCTTTTTTTTGTTTTTTGTTTGTTTTTTTTTTTTGTTTTCGTTGCACTGGAGTTTGAACTCAGGGCCCACATGTCCACCAACCCTTTTTTGTGATTTTTTTTTTTTTTTTCGAGATTAGGGTCACATGAACAATTTTCCTGGGCTGGCTTCGAACCTCAATTCTCCTGATCTCTGCCTCCTGAGTAGCTAAAATTACAGGCATGAGCCACTGGCACTGGTGAGACAAGAAAGGTTAAGTCAGCCATTCAGGGTCACAGGGTGCTAGCAGGTGTCCAGGGATGGGATTTTTTTGTTGTTCTTTGGGTTTTTTTTTTTTTTTTCCTGTGCTGGAGTTTGGAACCCAGAACCTCATACATGCTAGACAAGCACTCTACCATTGAGCTCCATCCACATCCCACAGAGCAGGATTTGAAACTGGGAGGTCTGACTCTGAAGTCCACACGCTGGCGCTGGGGAACAGCCCTGCATGTGTCCTGTGTGTGTCAGGCAGCCTTCCTGTGCTTTGCACACAGGTGGCCCCACATGTGGAGAAATGCAGGGAACTAGACCATTTCTCCACCTGCTGAGGGGCCCTGGCCCCTCTGCAGAGTGCATGCGTGTGCACACCTGGTGTGCGGTATATTGAGAACATCTCAATGAGTCACTTCGGAGCCGGTGGCAGCAGAGGTAATTAGTATGGGAGCTGCGTCTGTGCGCTTGCTCGCATTCATCCCTCAGTCCGATTGATGGGCCACCCGCCTGCAGCCCATGGGCTGCTGCCCAGTATTCCTGCCATCCCGCAGCCCCACCTTGAGGCGCCCTGCAAACCTCTAATCCTGCATTGTTCTGAGTGGGGCTCCCCTGGCTCTGTGGTGGGAGGCCCTTGGTGGCTGAGCTGCCAGTAGGGCTCTCACCGGCCAGGGGACAAGGAGCTGGGGCTTCCCAGCATCCAGCCATCCTCAGTGTGCCCAAGCATTGCATGCAGGACTTGTGGAAACACGGTCA